ATATTTTTTTTAACACAAAAATCATATTTGAATCGCTTTAAAAAGTTAGAAAGAAAAAGCACCGTTAATTTTTAATCTCAAAATTTTCAACTTCATTTATTAAAAGTGTATTTATTTTTTATTTATATATTTTTTAATGATCAATCTATTTATAGCTATAAAAATATTGATTTGTGAACATTTTATTTTAGATTTAAATTATAAAAAAGTCAAGAAAGATTTCATATTTTATTAAAAGGATGCGTAATTAGTAATTTTACTATTAATTTAAATATTATGTTATTTTTAAACGAGTGTTATAGTAATTTTTCTTTTATAATTTTATTAACTCATTTTTAATTTTTTTATACATATATATTTATATTAATAGATATGATAAAATATATTTTTGCTATAAAAATATGATAAAATATGTTTTTATAAAAAATAGATTAAAACATAATATTAATCGACCCTCTCAAAATCAAATGTCAAGATTCATCACTAATAGTAATTGCTTACAAGCTATTTATTTACAATTCACAAAGCAATCCTTATTGAGAAAGTTTGGATTAAGGTTTGCTATATTAGTTGGTAAATTTTGTTTATCCTTTTAAGTGTATTTTTTTTGTTTTAAAGTTGTTTCTAATTTTGTATAATCATTTTCAATGATGTATATGATCTAGCCACCAGTTTTTAGTTAGGTTCTCTCTATCATTTTTTATTTTGGTTTTGTGTTTTTTTTTTTTTTAGTTCTGTTTGTTCCTAGGCTATTCATCTATAGTATTTAGGTTTGATGCATTGTTTGTTTAATTTAGTTTTCTCTTTTAAATGCATATCATGCTTGGATAAGTTATGTTTGATTATTTGTTTTCTCTTTGATGCCATTGAATGATGCTCTAACGTTAACTATTCTTTGCTCTAAAGTTCTGTTGTGAATCTTTAAAGTATTTTGCTTTTAATCCTTAAGTAGGGGGACATGTATGTATTTCACTTTATATGAGGATTAGGTTTTTGGTTCGGGTTTGCATTTAGTTTTATAGTTTATTGGCATCATTTGTTTTATGTTTGCTTTGCAAGTTTTTAGGTTAAGTTTGGGAGTATTGGTTATTTATCAAAAGTATTACCTTGAAGATAAATGGTGGGTAATTGTAATATTAGGTAAAATAAACTTGTAAAGTTACTTAGAATACAAGTCATTGAATTTGATTTTTATGAAGTTCCTATCTTTGTTGATGCCAAAAGTCAATGGGCTATTAATAAACTTAGAAAGTTAAATGTACTTATGTCTAATAAAATTAAATGGCGGAAGGGTTTGATGAGTTCTCATATGAGTAATGTTGTTTCAAGTCAAGTTAATAGCCTACCCTCTCAAACTATTAGTTCTATTGGTAATCTAGTGAATATGAGTGGTGATTTTTCTGATTCTATTGTTAGTTAGTCAATTTCTCATGGATCTGTGGTTAATTCTGATATTGGTAGTCTCAATGTAAATCATATAACATTGCATTTTATTGTGGGGTTAGATGGTGAGTTAAACACTCACTACAAGAGCAAGTGTTTGTAGTGTAGAAAAAATTTTTCACTAAAAATATTAAATTTAATCACTACCATTTATAGTGATTAATTTTAAAGTCGTTACTTGTCATCATAAATAATTTTATTACTATTTATTGAGTCGCCACAATAGATAAATTTTTTTGTGACAAAATTTTTGGTACTAAAAATATTAGAATATGTTAGAGTTGGAAATTTAAATATTACACAAATATGATACGAAAATAGAATACGAAAGTGACATAACTTAAAATTATAGCAAGAACTATATATGAGTTTAATAAAAAAAAATTTGTATTTTATATTTTTATGTCGACACAAATTATGACATGTAATTTTCATGTGAAACACGATACAAATACACGAATTTTAATATTTTATATGATATGAATATGCAAATCGTCAGATCTAGAATATGCGACTAAAATATATTGTCACGATAGCTTACTTTATTATGACAATTTTTTCAACTCTAAAAAAATTAAAATAGTGATAGAAAATAATATAGTTTTCTTGTAACAATATCGACTCTAAAAGTGATACAATAGTTACAAAAAATATCGTCACTTATATTTTTTATTAATGACAAAATTTTCCTCATTAGTGTTCATTGAAATAGTGTTGCATGAATTATGTCATAAATATTAAAATTATTTCTCACAATAATTCTTGTCACTAATAAATTAATTATTGTCACAATTAAATTTGTCAATTTATTAAAGAAAATATCATTAGTGATTATAAAAAAAAAACTGTCACAAAATTAAAATTGCACTTGCAATTACAAAATAGTCACTAATAGATTCTAATGACATAAAAATGTGATCACCTCATCTATTTTTATAAATAAAAGAAAATGATAACAATAATTATTAATAAAATACCAAAATATATGACATGTTCTTAAATTCCAAAATCCAAATTAAAAAAATAATATTCAAAATACAATTATCAATTAAAACCATACCAATATCTTTCGACCAAAAAACTAAATAATTACTAAAAAAGAGTTTTTAGTCCATTAATATGATAATGTCTAAGTGAAAATTTAAGCTAAAAGTCAACAAATGAACCAAATAAAATTCACTCTTCATTATTTTCCTATAAAATAAACAAAAAGAGTCAATGATTAGTAAAGTTTAACCACTGAAACAAGGAGATTTAATTAACTAATGAAACAGGGATATTTAATTATTTATCAAAACACAAATATTTAGACAATGAAATAAGATAAATGTTTAATTAGAATTTAAAATTGCTGCTATTATTGACACTTAATTGAAAATTTTATTTTATTTTGAATTTTTCTTGAATTGTTTTCTACCCAATTGAAAATTACATTTGTAACATTTTATATTTACTTGTTTTCTTTAAATTAAAAAAGAAGTTCATTTCACTAGTTTTAAGATGAAATCTTTAAATTAAGATCCTAGAAAAACAAATTTCAATCCTAGCTAATTCACGCTACAAACTAGAATTATTGAAAAGATTATGCATATCTAGAGTGAAGTGCAAAGTAATTGCTTTTAAGTTCACGCTACAAACTAATGTCAAGTCTAGCTAGTTAATTTGTGTTAGGTCTTTTAGTTCACACTACAATTACTTTTTAGAGATCCTCTTATAACTTATCATTTGACTTGTTTATGGCTCAAGTTGAATCAAATATTAAATTTGTTTATTGATTAAATCGGATGGAGTCGTAACAGTTTTAGGGATCTTTAGATGTTTTTGAAAACAAAAGATGGAGTCACCACTAAATTTTTTTTTGGTTAGGTGTGATTGGCCACATCTTAAAACTTACCTTCTTATTAAAAAGACAATTTTTAGGTCTGCAAAAATAATTTGGATTCAAAAGTCGATTATGTGTGGAGAAGGATAAGCACCCCTATAGATCCCGTTTAAAACGGTACCAATTAATTATGTGTTATCTTTTAATATTGGCTAAAATGGTCTTAATTTTGGTATTTAAAAATTGATTTTCTTTAAAAACATATTTTTAGTATGCTTGAAAAGTAAATAACAACCTTATAGTGAAAAATACTTAAAAATATTTCAATACTCTGGCAATATTAGAAGGAACCATCTCACTTAAGGAATTTTTAATAATCACTACTCGAAATTCTCAAAATTCTATCACCAATGCTTTATGTTTATTTTTAGCATTTATTTAAAATATAATATCTTTTTAAAAAAAAACAAATAGTATTTTTCAAAACTCATTTCTATGCCATTTAAAAAAAGAGAAAATCTTTATCAAAAATTAATCTAAATCTCTAATATATTGGTGGCATTTTAGATAAATTTTTTTATCTAAAGATTCTTAAAAAATTACTACTCGGACTTCTTTAAGATCTCATCCTTGAAAATTTTTCATTTGCTTTAAAAAAAATTAAAAATCACGTAATAATATAATTATACACAAATACAATTATTTCTTAAAAAATACTCCCTCTTTATTAAGAAAAATTGTTCAAGTTAAAAAAAATAATTATAAAATAAAAATTTTCATATTGAAAAGAAGCTTTTAAATATTCCAGTACTTTGGCTATTTTTAGAGGACTTTTCTCACCTAAAAAATTCTTAAAAATTACTACTCAAACTTTTTGGCATCCTATCATCGGAAATTCTTATTACTTAATTTTATTAAGAAATGCATCCTTTTATAAATATTTATTATCTATTCAAAGGAATTGTTCAAATTGATAAAAAATTTTATATTGAAAAGAGTTTCTAAATATTCTAATACTTTGGTCATTTTTAGAAATCTTTTCTCATCTAAGAAATTCTCAAGAATCTTTACTTAGACTTCCTGAGATTACATTATCGAAAATTCTATTTAAAATTATGTAATGCAAACAATAAAATAGAATATGCATACAAAAAACATATATTAATTATACGTTAATCTTGTTTATTTATTTTTCAATCATCACTAACACTTTTGAAAGGAATAGAGTAAATAAAAATTTTATTGAAAATTTTCCTAAATATCCCGATATTGTGGTGATATTTTAAAAAAAATTTCATTTAAAGATATTTTAAGAATCTCTACTCGGACTTCCTTAGAATCCCATCCTCGAAAATCTCATTCATTTTTTCCTCTTTTACTTTATATATATTTTGATATAATTATACTAATTTTATTACTAAAAGAGACATTATATATTATTATTAACATCTATCAAAATTTAGAAAAATAGACAAATGAACCTTTTTTGTATTGAATATTTTTCTAAATACTCCATTACTTTAGTAGTATTTTTTAGAAAAATATCCTCACCTAGACATTTTAAAAAATTGTTACTTGGATTTCTCTAAAATATCATCATAAAAAATTTTCATTCAATTTCTTATTAATAAATTTTGTGTAAATCTACCATATATGAGGAACAAATTACTCTATAAGTAAATTGGAATATAAAATTTTAAATTGTATAAGAAATCAAGACAAACATACATACATACTACTCATCATATTTGTGCTTCAAGGTATCAATAACTTTCTTAGTAATCAAGTAAGCTGAGTAGAAACCAACATCAAATTGTCCAATCATACTAACATCAACACCAATAGCCAATGCCTTCATGAATTCTTTGGTCCCAGACCTTGTAATGGTACCTAAATTGTTCACCAAATTAGTCTTGGTCATATCGATACCATTATCAATAATTGACAGTGTTGTTTGTCTTATCTAAAGACAATGTGGATAAAGAGCTTTGGCTAAGCATCAAGTATGCCTTTGTCTGTCAAGCTCTCAAATCTCATTTTGTCCAAAGAATTGGAGGCATTGCTTATGAGCTCACGAAGAAAGATCTTTTTATACTTTAAAAAGTATTGATAATTAAGCTTGAAAGCTGGTTGATCTCAGCCTGGAAAGCAAATGTCTTTTTGCTCTCTCTTTTTTCTTTAAAGAAATGCTTCCCTCCATTTTTTCCTCCTCATTTTTTTTTGTTGGTAGCTTCTTCTTAGAGTATTTTTCAAAAGCCTCTTTCTTTTGGTAGCCCCTTACTTTTTTTTTCTTTTCTCTTCCTCATTCTCTTTCTCTATTCAGCTTTTTTTTAGCAGCTTCTTTTTTTCTTTTTTTATGTGCTTGGGTTTTTTTTCTTTTTTTCACTTTTTAGCCTTTCAGCCTTTTTCTTTCTTTTATATTAGCTTTTTTCTTTTCTCCAACTCTTTCATCTTTTTTATATTGGCCTCTTCCTTCACCAGCCTCATCTTTTTTTTACGTGCTTCACCTCTCTTCACTAACCTCTTTTTTCAGCTTTTTTTAATTATTTTTTTAGGTGGCAGACCCCTCCTTTTTGGCAAACCACTATTTTTTTAGCAGCTTTCTCCTTTCTTTTTTATGTTGGTTTCCTTTTTTTCTCTTCTAGCCCCCTCTCTATTCCAACCTTTTAGCCTTCTCTCCAACTTTCACTCATTTCTCTTCCTTTTGTTTTACATTAACTCTTTTCTTTTTCAGCCTTCAAAACCTCTTTAGCCTTTTCTTATTTTACGTTGGCTCCCCTTATTTTTTAGCTTTCTAACCCCTTTTTTTTTTTACATGTTTGGCTCCATTTTAGCTAGCACTCCCCTTTTTTAAGCTCTTTCTAACCTCTTTAGAAGTCAGTCACCTCAAAAAAAAATCTCATTCTTGATGAATATAGACCTTTGGATCAAATTTCATTTAAGGGTCAAAGCTTATCTTTTTATTTTTTTTAATGAATCACCTTTGGCCATTGGATCAAGATCAATAAAAAATCTAATGGTCCACATTATTCACTGTAAATATTAGATTTTTATGCCTTCTAAATGTATGAAAAGACCATTTTACCCCAGTATAAAATTTTTGGTATTTAAATCATTTTCTTAGAAATCAATGTTTCCATGCTTATTTTTGGGATTTTAAAACACCAAAAATCATGAAATATTATAAAATTAAGATATGAAAAGTTTCATGAAAATCTGAGCTCGAGGTACTATTGTGATTTTAAATGTACCAAAAATCATGAAATATTATGAAATTATGATATGAAAAGTTTCATAAAAATCTGAGCTCAAGAAGATCAAATTACAAAAATACCTTTAAAGGGGTATTTTGGTATTTTCACACTTTTTAAAGTACGGTTGTGATTTCAAATGCACCAAAAATAATGAAATATTATGAAATTAAGATCTAAAAAGTTTCATGAAAATCTAAACTTAGAATGGCCAAATTATGAAAATATCCCTTATAAAGGTATTTTGGTAATTTTGTACTTCTCTTAGTGCAATAAAAATTTTTAGTGTTTTAAAAATTACCAAATTTAATTTTAAAACATTGATTTCAATTAAGTTGTGAATTTTGAAGATTAATCCTGGTTATATTCATTTTGATCAAGTTTTGTGTAATTTTGACTAAGGTTGACTTTGAGGTTTACTCATTTTATTTATTTTTCACTTCTCATGCATTCATATGAAAAATGTATCATCCATATAAATCTCATGCAAAAGAGTTTGATAGTAATCATACAGGTCTTTTTTTGTTTATTAGGCCTAAGTATTGATGCATTTTATGAGCTCTTTAAGGGACATTTTTAAGGGCTTCAAATGGGCTTTATTCAACCATGTTAAAATATTTCAGACAAAATTCGGTGTCTACAGCTATCCCTCTTTATATATTTCTAAGAATAAAAAATAATGTAAAGACATAGACAATAATTTTGTTTAGATGATGCTTTTGAGAGATGTTCTTTTTTTTTTTAACTTGTTTGAAATTGCTTTTTCCAAACAGAGGCTTTGAAACTTTAAAAATGGCTCCCCCAAAATAGAGGCTTTGAAACTTTAATAAAAGATGGCTCCCCCTAAGCAAAGGCTTTGAAACTTTGAAAATAGCTCCCCCCAAATAGAGACTTTGAAACTTTAAAAAAAAGATGGCTCCCCCCAAACAAAGACTTTGAAACTTTGAAACTTTAAAATGTTTTGCTCAGAGGTCTTAGAGATTATGCCCATAGGTCTTACAAATCTCAAAATTTATAAATGCTCATCCTAATTAAGGGCATTGAAACTTTAAAATTTTAAAATGGTTTACCAGGAGGTCTTAAAGATTATGCCCGAAGGTCTTACAAATCTTAAAATCTATGAATGCTCCTCCCAATCAGAGGCATTAAAATTTTAAAAATTTAAAATGGTTTGCTCGAAGGTCTTAGAGATTATGCCCAAAAGTCTTACAAATCTCGATATTTTTGAATGCTCCTCCCAATAAGAGGCATTGAAACTTTGAAAATTTAAAATAATTTACCCAGAGGTTTTAGAGATTATGCCCAAAAGTCTTATAAATCTCAAAATCTTTGAATGCTTCTTCTAATCAAAGGCACTGAAATTTTAAAAATTTAATTTTTTTTTTGAAAATTTATATAAGTTCTAGCTTTAACTGGACTTAAGTCTTATTTTGTATCATATCTCTTTTTTTCATTTTTAAAAAAATTTCTTTGCTTTTTATAGATCATTTTTTTTCAACTTTTAAACTTTTTTAATATTTTGATCTCTTATTAAACTATTTTTTTTCTCATGATAGATTTTTTTCTCTCTTTTTTTTTTGCCTATTTTTTTTCTAATATTTACAAAATTGATAAATGTAATCGTGATACAAATGTCTATTCTCATTAAATGATGCTAATGGAAATATCGATGCGAATGCAAATATCAATACGAATGCTTGATGCAAATATAATTAACTTTTTCACAATGCAAATGACAATGTTTTTTTCATGTAAATGCCCTTACAATTACTTTTTTTTAGGTTGCAGATACAATTATGCAAATGTAAATTTCTTTTTGATGCAAATGAGAATGTCTTTCTTGTAAGTAAATGCAAATATCTTTTTATGACGTAGATGTGAATGCAAATGTCTTTCTCATGATGCACATATAAGTGCGAATGTAAATAATACAGATGCAAATGTCATTCTTTTAGTGATACGGATACAAGTGATGTAAATGTAAATGTCTTTTTCATGATGCATACGTAAGTGCGAATGCAAATGATGTAAATGTGAATGTCGTTTTTTGTGATGCAAGTGATGCAAATGCAAGTGAGGTAAATGTGAATGCAATTGTCTTTCTCATGATGCACATGTAAGTACAAATGTGAGTGATGTAGATGCGAATGTCTTTTTTTTTTGTGATGCAGATGCAAGTGATGCAAATGTGAATGCAAATGTCTTTCTCGTGATGCACACGTAAGTACAAATGTGAGTGATGCAAATGTAAATGTCTTTTTTTGCGATGTAGATACAAGTGATGCAAATGTCTTTCTCATAATGTACATGTAAGTACGAATATGAATTATGCAGATGCAAATGTCCTTTTTTTATGATGTAGATGCAAGTAATGCAAATATCTTTTTTTTATTTTTTTTGATGCAAATTAAATGTTTTTTTGCAAATAATACAAACTCAAAGACCTTTTTTATTTTTTATTTTATTTTATTTTTCTTCTCTTTTTTTTTCTTTAATGCCAGATAAACTAGGCTTGTATGCCAAAGGGTTGGCAATCTTTATCTGAAATGAAAGGTGAAAATTTTCTTTCCAAATGGGTTGAATAGTTCTGTATATGGAAATTTTTGTTTATTCAAAAAGGTTTTAACACTTAAAGAGAATAAAAGAGGCATATAATTTTTCATGCAAGCTCATAGATGAAACATAAGCTTTTCTAAAAACATGAATTCTTTGAAAACCAAACATATTCAACATTTTCTTTAGTCTTCAAATGTTACAATTTGATATATGTCAAGGTTAACTGTAAGGGTTTGAGATTTTGAAAGGTTATTTGAAAATGGACAAAGGTTGAGATTTTCGAAATCAACTCATCTTAGACTTCTATGATATTGATATTTCATATCTTTCAATAAGGTTTGGTTTAGCTTAGTTTAGCATCTACCACATTTAGCATTAAAAGTGGCTTTCAAGATTTGTTTTAGACTACCCTTTTTAGGGTTTTCACCCTAGAGCCACTTTTATTCTTTTTTCTGTTGTTTATTTTTTTGTATTTTTTTCATTTTTATTTTCATTTTGTATTTTTTTATTAACATACCATGCACTTAAAAAAATTCAAAACAAATCCGAAAGAGGAAAAAAATTTTTTCAAAAGGGGTTAACAATCCAAACAAAAAATTATATAATAAATGGGGACTCAAAAGATTCATGATCATTTTTCCAATAAAAACTCTTCAATTTTAAGCCTTCATGCTTGATCTTATATAGACTTTTTAAAAGTTGCAATGTAGATTAAGGTTTGGGGTTGTCAAAGAAAAGGATAGAAAAGCCCAAAATAAGTATTTAAGGGTATTTAAAACCAATGATCCTTTTTTCGTTCGAAGGATAGACTCTGAGGTCTACTCCTTTTTACTTTCCACCCATTTATTTCATTTCTTTTTTCTTCTTTTATTCTTCCTTTCATTTCCTTTCTCTCTCTCTTTTTTTTTTTTTACTTTTTCATCCTTTTATTGAGTGGATTTAGAACTTTTAAAAACTTTAATTGGGCTTTTACCCCTATCATATGGGATTCTATTTGGATATCTCCATTCTTAACTTTTAAATGTGTTTTTTTTGCCTTATAATATGGTGGATGATCCTTAGTTAGGATTTATTTTAAAAGAATTCAATCAAGCTTAAAGGGGTAATAAGAGATAAATTTCTACATTTGTGAATAGGATAACAAAATATGGCCATT